ACTTGAACATATTCATGAACTTTTGAACTGAACCTGAACTGAACCTGAACTTGATTTAAAAGTTCAATATTGAACCTAAACTAAACTTTTTTTAAAAAAAGTTCAAGTTCAGTTCAGTTCAGTTCATAGAAACACTATATCGACCTGTATTATGATGACTTTAGAATGTTTTACAACATCTATTATTCACTAGGTGGAGTATATATTTAAATTAGAAATTTATCTTTTGATAAAAGAAAGCAACTTAGAAATCATTTCATGCTTGGGTTTGTTTTATTTGGAGGCAAATTTGAAGAATTTATTGAACCTTTTGTTGCTGAGATGAAATAGCTAGAGAATGAAAAGATAATGAATGTGAAAGGAACTAAAAGTCTGGTAATTGCAAGTCTTGAAGATGTAACAGTGAATTTACCACAAGATAATGATTTGGCCAGAGTTAAAAAACATGGAGCTACAAAAGGATGCCGTACATGCAATGCAACAAAAGATTCATAGACATCTAATAATATTAATTTGCTATTGATTTCGTAGTATCACCATCTTATAGACATTCAATTTAATAAAATTTTAGCTACATCAACAATTATGAGATATAAGGCAATTGCTGCAGAATATGGATTGCATATCAAACCACCAATCCTTGATAAATTAAAAAGAGAAAGACATCTCCAATCACCTCATGATATATATCATGTTATAGCCAGAAAAATATTAAGATTTTTTAAAATTACAATTGATGCACTTTGTTCAGTTGGAAAATCGGAATTTATCATATTTTGGAAGTTATTTGATTATCCAAAAAGCTAGAAAAAATTACCAAATCCAATCTCTCATTTCGATAGTTTCATGATGTCAGACTGTTTATGATTGGCTATGATAGTTCCTTTTATTTTTAATAGGTTCTTAAAGCCCCAACATTTTAAAAAAACTGAACTTATTTTGTTTCAACAGCGAGTAGAACTCTCACGAAATAATTTGGCTATAAAACATTGGTTAAAATGTTAGGTATTGGTAGCAAAAACAATGTCTATAGTATTCAAGTATTCGTTTTTAGAAGATGATTATATTAAGCTATATGAATGCTTAGACAATGAAAGAAAATTATTATCACAGATAAATACTAGCATAATCATTACTATTGAATTTATTTGCATACTAATTGTTATCACAAATAGGCTTTTAAAGATTTAAAAATCTACCAAATTTATATATTAACTTTTATTTGGTACAACATGCCAAAAATTATGTAGCCTTATTGAATACTGGTATTGGAACGAAAGAAATGATCCATCAGATTTTTAAGAATATCATAATAAGGACAAATCAAAAAAATATAGATCTTGATTTATTAAAACATTACACTATATTGTTTGCAATACATTATTTATTTGATGGAGGTGTTGATAACCGCTTTTCTTTCTCAAATAATACTTTAATGAACTTTTCATATCACTCAAAATAACTGATAAATAATTGGTTTATCACTAAAAAATTTTTTAATACAAGCAAAGATTCATATGAAGGTTATTCAATTTTGATTCTTGAATTTTTTAATCAAATCATCTAATTTTACATATTTTAATTTAAATAAATGTTTATTTATACTATATAGTTCTGTCACCAGTTAATTATATTTCAAAAATAAATTTGAGAAAGCATATTTCAAGACAAAAGACTAAAGAATTTTTGCCAAATAACCTTGATTTTTTTGCAGAACTAGCATTAGCATATCGGGATATGGATTATAAATTGATGATATTTGAAGATTTATATCAGTTTTATGAATACATTTGCTTTTTAGTGGAAGATAATGACACTACTATTTAATATTGTCTATATTTTGGTGAGGTTGTAACTATAATAACTGAAAACAACAGTTAAAATTTGGCAATCTTAAAATCAATTTTTAGTCATTGAAAAGACAATCAACATTTCGCTTTTATTATTGTTGATTGGTTTGAAATTACTAATCAAACAAAACTAGAATGTTCTATATACAAACTAAAGATTGAAAATGAAGACTGATGAATTTTTCCTATAACCAAGATTGATACAACTAGCACTGAGTATTTTGTTTATAATTGTAGAAATAATGAATATGTAGAAGGATACTATAATTTTAGAAATAATTTATATATTAGAAATTTGTATTTTTTTAAGACTGTTTAATTAAAATAATATCATTGATTATCTTTTATAACTTCAAAATTGATATCTACATAAAAATTAAGATACTATATGTAGCAGTAATCTACTGTATCTCTGATATTACAGTAAAGTCTTTGGGATTATAATACATTCCAGTATTCATTTTTTGAATTCACAAATTTTTAGGGGT